CATGGTGAAATTTGGTTGCCACTGTAATGGTTTTGAGAGGTGAGACAGCTAGCAGATGAGTGGGTCAGGGGTATTCTGAGTCGATTAGTGCTTTTGTCCAGTAGTGAGTTGATTGTTGTGGAATGTCCTGAGTTCAGTCCAATTTCTCCTGTCCGCCACACCCTCTCTTGCCTCTGACTTTTGCTGCGGGATTATGTGGTGTGAAGTCCCTTGCTAGACATCAGTCTAATGCCTTTGGACTTCTGATTCTCCAGAACCAGGAATCAAATAAGCTTCTATAGTTTATAATTACCTAGTCAGTGGTATTCTGACATAGCTGCAGACACCAGATTATAACAGTATCTAATTGTTACTTGGGGTAATTTATTTATCATAATTCCTGCTACCTTTTCTTCATTCTTTCCTAGGAATAAGTCTCAGTGGTAGACATTTCAAATAGCTCTCAGATGCTACTTTTGTATTTCTTTGCTCACTCTTAAATCAGCTCACTTTTGGGTTTAGAAATTCCAATTTAATGCATCCAGTGGACAAAATTCCATTTTGTAAATGAGATTACCAGGATTAAACATAGACCCCAAAAGTCACTTTTTATAACTTCCAGAAGAATCTCTAGTCTGTAATTTGATGATGGCTCAGAATGAAAACCCACTACCTGATGCCTCTTTCACCAACATCTGATACCTAGAACTTGTTTCAAAGAGCCTCTTTTAAATATACAAAGTATTAATTGGCTTAGCTTATTTTAGCCAGAGCCTCCTGAATCCCTCAGAATCTTCATTTACTGACAGGAGGAAAGACTTCATAAAAAGAGATGTGGATTATATCATTTAAAAATAAAACTGATCTTTTTTTCCCCCTCAAAAAAACTCTATTAGACATAAGGATCAGTCACCTCCTCATTAACCTCTCAAAATGAATCTATTTCAAGCGAGGCTTGGAAATATTTTCTCTCTAAATGCTACAATGCAGTCTAAAAGTTAATTGTTATTCTTATCAAAGAATGACCCACATTAACATTTAGTTGGGGTCATTAGCATATTTATAAAAAGAAGTGTGGGGCGAATGAGCATTCTTTTCTCTGCTGCTCTTTGTTATGGGACACTATGAAGGAAAGTCCTGAGAAGAAAAAAGGAAGTAAATATTATTAACTAATATTCCAGAATCATCTGTAAATATCAAAATGTCTACAGCCATCTCATCCTTGAATGGGCAGACTACTGGTTATCAGATTTTAATTACATTTAGAAACAAGACAGTTTAGGTCACTATCTTTCTTTCTTAATATAAACAACTTTAAACTAGTTAACAAAACCAGGGACTAAGGACAGAGGTCATGAAAGAAACTTTTCATTTAGATCACATTGAGATTAATGACTGGAGCAGAACACTGTCTTTGATTATTCCATGAGACTGCATTTCTGTTTCTCTTGTCACTGGGGTAGGCATTCTAATACTGTAAAAAGTGAACTACTTAAAAAGAATCCAGTTGTGGGCTTACTCAACAGTTTGTTAAAAGTTAGAATGCTTTAGGTCTGAGCAATACACATATATATGATTTTCATCATAATTTTTACATGTATTTATTCTATGAGATATACATCCATATATATTCATGATACAGAGACTTTAAGACTCTTATTTTGAAAATTATTAAAAGTTTTCTATAATATCAATAAAAATCTCATGGCCTTTATTTATTTTACTTTTTAGAAATAATGTTAAATTTCATTTTGAAATAGAACAAAAGTAGGTTTGTGTTCTTAACTCTAAACCTAGGATTGAAAAAGGAACAGGTAACTCTCTAGAATTAAAAGCAGTGATAGATATGACCAAGTATTTCTCATTAATTTTAAGGGTCAGAGGATTTTTGAGGATTTGAATAATTTGTTGAATATTCTAACACTGAAAATTGTCAAGTGACTTGTACACTACACTTAGAAGAGCTTCCTACAGTCTCCTGATGGTAATAACTGAGAACCAGGAAATGTCCGTCTCATACTACAATTATAATTTTAAAAGTTATTATTTGCAAGGAAGCAAGACAAAAATTATAGATGAAAACTCCTCAACTGTAAATTTTTGGAGAGAGTAAAGCATTTGACAGTATTTGATTAGTTGCTAACAACTGTGAAATATAATATGATAAAGAAGGTAGCACTTTCCTACAAAATCCTTATTTCCATCAATGTATTTTCTTACTTAGAAAATTGGTAGGAGTTATTCAATTATGGCAGTATTTTGCTGGAGAATCAGAATTAATAACACTCTTTCTTTGAACTGTAAGGGAAAATGACAAGAGTGAAGTTCTCAATCTTTAAGGAACTTGTATAATGTTTAACCACTTCAAGTTTCATTTTGCTCCATTGATTTGCAAGAGAATGGGCCAGACAATTTCTCATTTCACATACCTCGGATGGATATATTTATACTGAGTATGAAGTACACTTAAAAATTAATGCCTATTCTGACAAGAGTGAGGTGGAATCTTAGTGTGGTTTTGATTTGCATTTCCTTCATGGCCATGGATGGTGAGCATTTTTTTCATGTGCTTTTGGCCATTTGGACTTCTTCCTTTAAAAAAGTTCTATTTAGTTCAGTTGCCCACTTCTTTATTTGGTCATTGATTTTGGGGGAGTTTAGTTTTTGAGCTCCCTGTATGTTCTGGTTATCAGTTCTTTGTCTGATGTATAGCTAGCAAAGATTTTTTTCCCATGGTGGTATCTTCAATTTAGAGATCATTTCTTTTGTTGTGCAGAAGCTTTTTAATTTCATGTAGTCCCATTTGTCCATCCTTTCTCTTAGTTGCTGGGCTGCTGGAGTTCTACTGAGGAAGTTGTTGCCTATACCTATTGCTTCCAGAGTATTCTCTGCTCTTTCCTCTACTAACTGCAAGGTTTCAGGTCTGATATTAAGGTCCTTAATCCACTTTGAGTTGATTCCATTACAGGGTGATAGGCATGGTTCTAGTTTCAGTTTTCTGCAGTCAGAAAACCACTTTTGCCAGCAACATTTGTTGAAGAGTCTGTCTTTTGTCCATCGTATGCTTTTGGCAACTTTGTCAAAGTTGTGGAACCAGCCAAGATGCCCCACTTCCGATGAATTGATTAAGAAAATGTGGTATTTATACACAATGGAATTTTATTCAGCCACAAATAAGAATGAAATTTTGTCATTTGCAAGTAAATGGATGGAACAGGAGAACATCATCTTAAGTGACATAAGGCTCATAAGGCCAAAAAAATGCATGTTCTTCCCCATATGCATATTATAGACCTAAAACAAATGCAGTGATATTGCTGGACATGGGTCATACTCTAAGGGGAGAATAAACATGGGAGAAATAGGGAAAGAGAAGGAAACCTAAAAATTGAATGTGGTTGATGTGCTCACTGTAGAGTAGTGAATATAGTAATCTTAAACTGGCTGATGCCACTATGGGAAGGGGAGTAAGAAGTAGTGAAGAGTTCTGGTAGAGATGAACCAATGTCAGCTGTAATACACATCAAACAAAATCCAAGAACAAGAGAGTGGAACAGATTCTGCTCGGAATTGGTGGGGGAGGGATTGGCCCAAACAATGTATACACATGTGAGTAAATGTAAAAACAATAAAATAAATTAATGCCTAAATTAACCAGATGTTTAGCATAAATTCCATGTTTAACTCTGCATCCCAGGGCATTCAGCTTTCCTAAAGCCCCCACACAACCTTAGGGGATAGTGAAAAAATTTTTCCAGGACAGATTGTAAGTGACAGTCATAGTAAGGTAAAAGTTTAGAAGTCTGGAACAGTCCTTAAAAATGTCAACACATGTTAATGAAGTAGACAGGGACCCTAAATGAGATGAGAGGCATATGCTTTATTGGCCCTTGATCCATAACCTACTAACCACTAAAAGTAAAAGTAAAGTGCCCACCTTCCCTTATTCCCTGCCCTTATCCTCACATTCTTATTGCAGAGACAAAACCTGTCAGGGGCAAGTGATTCCCTGATGTCTTCAAAACTAACTGGCTGTCGATCCACATCTTACACAAGAGAGGAATAAATCTCTGAAGACATAGGAAAAAGTTTCTTTAAAATTACCATCCTTATGACTTGATTCTAAATCACTCCAGCAACCCAATAAAAGTTTTCTCTGTTGAGGGACAGCCTCAATCTCTTTTCCCTTTCGATTAAAATTTTGCCTATAAAAATCATTCTCTCTGCCTCAGTTTTATTTCTGCTATCACAAAGGCAGGAGGTCCCTCACCTCTAGTACCGTTAGTGTGCTTTGCTTAAAGAGGCAGTGAAAAGGAAGCATAGGTTTTGGAGAGTTGTCTGTGTTCATGTTCACATTTCATCTTGTTCACTGGTATTCACCAATGTGGGTGTGTTACCCACAGTCTTTAAATCTGTTTTATTACTTGTAAACTGCAGGTAAGATATAGATTGCCTAGAATTGTGAAGATGATTTAAGGTATCATATGTAAAGCCTACCAGAGAGTTAGGATTTCATAAATGCCATTGTTATTACCTATCATTCTTAATCACATTCCCTCGGGCATTGTGCTACCCTGTGCTGCATCTCTCCCAGCCCTGCAAGACCTAGAACCATGAGAAGACACTGACAGTGGACTAGAATTCTCAGATAAGTGGAATCTGCACCTATCATCCATCCAGGATCAATGCATGTGTAGTTCAGAATGAAAATGGAGTAGGGCAGCAACTTTCAGATTTGATGGTGAAATATTGAGCCACATGAAAGAAATAAAGTCATAAAATACAGGGAAGTGACTAGATTTCCAGGTATATTGCCTTATGCAGTAGATACTGTCAGTCTCTGATATTCTTTCTTCCTTTTGCTTCTCCATAGCCTTGCTTAGATGTCAACAAAGGTAAAGTAAGAAATAACATTTAAAGCAGGCCTCTGGTTGCATGTTTGTGGCTCAGCTTTTGTTGGGGAGAAATCTGAACTAACTTGCTGACATGAGTCATGAGCTTCCCCTAGCTATTGAGCATACCTGGAAATGATCCTCACCTGGGAGAATTGTAGCGTAATACCCAGAGCAGCACTGATGACTTGGTTGTACTTCTCGTATTTGGCCACCACCACAAACTCCAGTTGAATTCAGGGTGGATGAGATATATTTTTCTTCACAACAGTGGTATCCAGGCTGGGGGTCATAGAGCACTCCAGTACAACAAACCTGAAAGTTTGGAATCCAGTTTTAAGGAAATAATGGTTTAGTTAATAGTATTAGATCTCATGTGATAGAATTGTTTTCTCATAGGACCTTGGTTGAGATTATATTACTTATATCCAAAGGTTTAAAAAATGTATTTTCCAGCATCATTCAAATTCTACAAATGAACTTTTTAAAACTAGTCTTCAGCCATGCTTTGCTCTCCATTACATCTTATAAATACAAATTATCTTGTGAATGTTAAAGCTTCCAATGTAAAGATGTTTAGAAGTATATATGAACAATTTCTTTCAAATATATGTTTTTATTTTAATGGATGCTTAAGTTGAAAAAAAACATATGTAGGAAAAGTGACTCCTACTGATCCTTCTTTTTTTAATAAATTGAATTTTCCTTATAATTTATATGATCACTTATTTACAAGCCAATCTTCAGACAAGGTGTTCTTAATAGAACTATATATATACACATATATATTAGGCTAACACATTTTAGAAAAAGAAAATTTATATGGAAATTAATTTTGAAAGGCCCTTTTAACTCTGTGTTTTCTTCGGGAGCTGTGGAAGAAATTATGTGCTTGAACAATCAAATAATTATTTGCAGACTCACTTGAAGTCTGAGAGATTGACATGCTGTATATATAACAAATCAAGTACTGAAGTACTGAAGAGTCGCTAGAAAGAAGCCTCAGAACTTGTACTTTTCATACGTTACATTAGTTAGAGAGATACATCCCATGGCAGGCAAAAATCAACCACTATTTAAAGGCATTTGCTTTTTCTCCTTTTGCTTGGTGATACTTCCAGCATCCCCCAACATTTGATCCAAGTTCAACAAAATAGCTTTAGAATGTAGCATCTCCAAGTCTTTTCCCCCCACTCTAAGCAAGTGCTCTACCACTTGAGCCATACTCCCAGCCTATTTTTATGTATTTTGTTTTTAGACAGGGACTCATTACCTTTGCCAGGGTTGTCTTAGAACTTGCCATCTGCCTGCCTCTGTAGCATTCTCCCAGTAGCTAAAGTTACAGGCATGCACCACCCTGGCTAGCAGCATCTCTAAGTCTTCAACAGCTCCACTAGCTTAGTACTTCATTTTCAAAAGTTACTAAAAGCAAAGAAATTGGGATGGAATCCAAAGTCCACCCCTTGGCTCTTTAGGTAGCCCTGGCAAACCTGCAATAATGAATTTCTTTTGTTGGGAAAGTCTTTAGGACTGGTTTGCTTCCATCCTTTCATTAGCAATGCCATCCATCACAAGAAACATGTGCCTTTCTTCTTCCCCAAACTGGCTTAGATCACTGTTGGGTCGGAAAGGGAGCGTTTTCAAGCAGTTATTTCTCTTGGGAGGTCTTCCCATAAACAAGAGTGTTCCCTAATCTTCTCACTCAGTCTCCAGGTTCATTGTCTCAGAAAGCATAAAGGGAAATTTCAATAACTTGAGCTGATTTGAGTGTGGCTGATTTTTAAATAGATGGCCTTTTCCTTGCTCTATGGTGTTCAAAAGCAATTTTATAATCTAGTGATTCTCAAAGTGTGGCCCCTGGACCAGCTGCAGAGGTCTCATTTGGGAACATGTCAGAAATGCAAATTCTCACAGTCCACCCTGAATTTGGGGAATCAGGATCTCTGGGGGTGGGGCCCTGCATTCTGTGTTTAACCAACCTTCCAGGGCTGATATTCACTGGGATTTGAGAACCATGACTACAATTATGTGGTAAAGCTTGAATGAGTATTTTGGGTCCCCTGATATTTATAGTGATTTAGCCAAGAGGTTCTTAGACTCCCAATAAAAGTCTCTTTTCTACCTACATAGTTAACCACAAACCAAAGGTTACCAACAAATTCTTTTGAAATTTTAATTGACTTCCTTTTTTTTTCTTTCACTAACAATACCTGTATTGCCTCTTAAAATCCTTAAAATAAAACTTTATTTAGGGAATCATTATATAACATTCTATATTGCATCTCTTTTTAACAATGTAAAATGTTGTTACAGCAATAATGGAATGTGATGTTTCTTTTCATGATTATTAGATGAGATTTGTTTGTGTCACTTTCATAAAGGTTAACCTTTGTTTCTTTTTTCCTTATTCTTTAATTTACATTTTTTTTCTCTATAAGGGATGACCTGTATCTTTGTTATTTGTAGAGTACTGGACTATGTGTGTCTTTTTTCTTGCTCTTAGTTTTTTTATTGATTTAAAATTATATTAAATAACCCTCTGCTATTCTGAAAAAAAAAAATACTGGGTTTAGAAATGCTGTATCAAAGAGGCTTTTACTAATTATTAAATTTCTTCAAAAGCTTATAAAAACAGTTTTGATATCAAAGTATGATATGGTAGAAGTAATATAAACAGTTTAGTCTGTGTATATAGAAATCTTAGCTGTATGTTTTTAATATGCTATTACACTCAATCTTTTCTTTGCTCCATAATAGGTGTATTTTTATTGAATATGGATATTAAGAACATTTACCTTTCGATGTTTTAGAATGTACTTAAATGAAGGCATTATCTTTCCTAACTTTACTGTTTTACTCTAACTTCACTGCTATGCTTTAGTTAAAACTATTATCAAATCCTTTATATGAACCTAAACTGCTATCAGAATTTTACCAGAATCAATATTGATGAATGTTGTTTCCTATGCTTGACAAAGTTCAAATCACTAATTCATATGGCTACATAATTATGCTTCACTTGTCAACTTCTTATTGTATAGTACAAAAATGTATAGTTGGCCACAGGCTGGCTTTATGCAGTTTGTAAGTGGTAACCACTGCTAAACTTGTGTAAGCAATTATAATTTGTATTTTGATCTATATTGCTTCAGGAACGCACTTTCTTGATTACTGATTCTGTTATAGTGAATCCTATGAATTTAGTAGTAGCTTTAGTCATTGAATTTGTGATGTTATTGATAAATAGGAACATTGTTTCATTGTATGAAATCCTACCTTCAAACGAAGGATTTTTGTGTGGTGCTTATCAATAAAAGCCATTTGCAAACTCTCTGTCTAGCTGTATTATTGATCTGATTCCTAAATAGCAACTAATATGAACATTAATCTGCAAATGACCATAATTTTAAAATATTTCTGAAAACTATGAAGGGTTTCAGTTTACAGTTTACAGTTACTCATCAGTGTCATGTAAATAAATACCCATTTGTGGCCAAATGGATTTGTTATAAAGAATATTTCAATTCCCTCAAGCAAATACAAATTTGGGAGTTTTCTTATCATTAGAATAAACCCATATCCCTTGTAAAGATAATGAAAAAAAGGGGAAGATTAAAATGCTCATGAGGATGATAGGTCTTTTATCAGCATTCTTCCTTTTCCATGGGGTCATGATAAAGTAGTAGAAATATTGCTAAAGATATAGCAGGTATACGAAGCCAGGGATTTTAATAGAAATGTTTACTGAGAAAAACACACTTCACTGATGGATTTGTGACCATTTACCTTAGCTTCAGGAGAATAGCAAATGTGTTCACAGATGTTTTCAGGTTTTTGACACTTTACTGCCTGACAGAGCTTATTACTGTGATTCTCCACTAGCTTTTGGGTTTTGGGGCATGAATGCCATGTTTTTCGTAAAAGATCATATTCAAGAATGATGCCATTTGGTTTCCCTGGAGTCATCCAATCTATTTGAAGGGATCTGCAACAGACAGAAAAATTAGAATAATTTTATTAAAAACAGCATTTTACTATATAATTCAGGCTGGCCTCGAACTCTCAATCTTCTTGCCTCCAATTTCAAAGTTCCAGGACTACAGATGTGCACCACCATACCTAACTGGAAGCAGTACCATTGAGAAGACAAAATTATGGCTATCAGCCTCCTTTCCTTTTCAATTAATGTCCCAAATTGGTCAAAAGTTCTACTTCATTGTCAGCTTTTTAGCTAAAAATTAGAAGGTATAGATACTAACATATATTTAAAATACACTAGTATGTGACTGCCATATAATGCTTTCAGAATCAATCAAAACTATTTTAGCTTGGTTAAATAACTCATGGCATGAGTCCAGGGGTCACTCACTTTTAAGTTTCAGAGACAAGAAGAAAATATCACTGTTTATAACAGAAAATCAACATAACATTTAATTTGATGAGAGGTAAGACCTAAATAACATGGCTTTGTAAGCAGAGTGAAAATGAGAATGTGGCAAACCTAATCTCTGGGCACCTTCTCCTTTGCCTTACCTCAGCTAGGACTAGTGATATGACACAGGTGCTCTGGGGTGCAAGTGGAAGACAGCTACAGGATTCCTAGGGAATTTTAGCTTTGTTGACACATCTGCCACCTTCTCCCTTGTTTTTCCATTCTGTTTTACATGATGTCTGTCACACTGATAATCATCTTGTAGTGATTTGAGAAATTCTGTGAAAGTCACAAAGATGCTGCCATGGTATTTGGTATTGATGAAAGAATGCCAACAACCATCTACATCTAGATTTTTCTTCTTGCCTCTCTATTGTTGGCAGCCCAAATTGAGAAAATCTTTAATAGTACTAATTTCCTTCAAATGTACTTTACTTCAGTATATCTTCAGTTCGGAATAACCTAAATGAATTTATTTCTCCAACAACTCGGGTCAGGTATGCTTTGTGGCCAGAAATATAGGAATTGGAGATTTCCATAACAAATGCCTTTATGTCATCATGTTTTTAAAGATGACATTTGATTTTTAAACATTGAGCTACAATCTCATTTTAAACACAGGTATGACTTTTTTCAGGAATGGAGGGTATACAATGAAGGTACACATCTGGTCAAAACTTAACAGAATTTTCAATCATCTATTAGTATTTTACTTGCTGTAGTAAGTAAGATCATAATGTAAAACTGTTCACAGAGGAGACATTGCTAAGCAAGATTATTTATTCTCAGGTTAATGCTATAGAACTTTGGTCTACCTGCTAGAAAAATGTGACCCAGATCACACAAACATACTATGTTTAGTATTTTCTTAATATGCTCTATAGACATAAAATAGTTCAAAGTTTTTAATAAAGCTCCAGAGATTTGAATATGACATATTCTGGCAGGGTAGCATGGCTAGGAAAACTTCTATATGAATGTAAAAATGATTATTCTTTTTGTTCTTATTATTTTGAAAAATTGAATGAAACTCTCATTTAAGATTAATTCCCTTTTTGTAATTCTAGGATTCAAGCTGTAATATTTAACCAATCAGAAATAGTTTCAGAGTACTTTTTAGATGGAAAACATTTGAGTTGGCACCTTATAGTAAAGTAAGCACACATGAGCCTCTCTCTATACTTCGAAAGTCTTCATTATAAAAATCTTGTAATAAAGTTGAGCACTTTTTCTACCACTGTGTGAAGCATCATTTTGTTGTTGTTGAGGGGAAAATCAGGGTTTGAACTCAGGGCTTAATGCTTGCTAAGCATTACTCTACTGCTTGAGCCACTCTGCCAATTCATTTTGCTTTGGTTATTTTTGAGATAGGGTCTTGCTTTATGCCCAGGTGGCCTGGACTGCAATCCTCCTATTTGTGCTTTTCTACCTAGCTGGGATGACAGGAGTGTAATACTGTGGTCAGTCATTGGTTGAGACAGGGTCTTTTAAACTTTTTGCCTGGGCTGACCTTGAACTGTGATCTTTCCAATCTCTGCCTACCAAGTAGTTAGGATTATAGGCTTGAGCCACCATGACCAGCTTGAAATAAAATTTTTAGTGTATCTTTCATTTTAAGGAGAAATAGGTGTTTATGGGCCAAATTCCTGGGCCCATTTCCTATCAAAATTCCAAATGATATCACTTTTAAGAATTTAATTAAGCCCAAACATTTACATTAAAAAGCAGCCATCAAGATAAACCATGACATTTTAATAAAAGACAGCTAAAATTTTATTATTTCATTTTAGGGGACAAACATAACATATTTAGTAATAAGAATCTGTGGACAGAAAATTAATGTCATCTATGAGAGGACAGTTTTATAGATTACTAGTAGAGTCACCGCTATTATTCTAAAGTGCCTGTCAAATTAATTCCGTATTCTGTAGATACTTTTTTTGCATTCATTGCATAATTAACTACAGATGAGACTATATTGAAGCGATGTTCAAGGGTGTGACTTACCCATAAAAACTGGTGAACTAGTAAGGTGGATGTAGAACACCTTGCCATTCTGACTTGCTTTTCCTGTGCAAAGTAACTGTTAAGTGAGCCTACTTATATTTTTAGTGTTAACACAAACAGTTCAGCTTCTGGCAGTTTGAATCAATGATATGAAGTTAAATAATCAATGAGTAGGAGGTTTTTAGACTTTTATATCTCTCATTAAAACCAACTGGAAGGACATTGTACAGTCTTGTGTTTTCTGATTTGAAAATGAACAACACTGTTGAGAAATACGCACCATTATTAATGGTATTAGTGGTTGTGTTGCTTTGATATTTCAATGTAAAATAGGAGGAACATCTTTAAGCCCTAGGAAGAGTATTAACTATTGGGGAAAAAAGCTGGAGATTTTTTTGCATAGATGACTGCAAGGTGTACACTCATAACATAAACAAACTGCAAAACTTTGAATGGATCTTTTTTATAGATTAGTTCATGAAATAACTTAGTGTTTATCTCTCAATGCAGCAGGGACTGAAATTTAAGTGACCTTAAACAGGGTCTGATAAAAGCCACCATGTCTACACACATTTTAGTACATGAAGTTATTATTGTGTGGTCAGACATTCTAGTTGGACATTTATTTTTAAGTGCCATATTGATAATAGAATTATTGTTCTATCTCTTATATTATGTAATATTGTGATCAACATCACAGTAGGCATCACTTCCAGTAGTCACTTTGTGAAATACAAAATGGCATTGAAGCTAGAAGGCAATATGGAAAAGTCATTTCTTCTTACCCAGCTTTACACAGGTGAGTGCCAAAATGATAAAGGTCATGTTCTGCTCTGTTAGGACCACAAGAGATCAGCTATGGAGGGCAATGTTTATGTCAGGGAAACTAGTGATGTGGAGCTCCTCACGGGGATCTCTTGAGAAAAACATGCAATTGTTTAAGAAAGAGTCACCTGCCACACAGAGCGTTATGACTGCCAGTAACCACGATGAAATAATAATTGGGGGGGTGATGCATCTGAATGAAAGACAATAGGCAAAAATGAGCAAGGAGACAGGAAGAACATGCTACAATCAGGTCTGAGCCTATGAAATGGGAAAATATTTGTATGTGTGTGTGTGTGTGTGTGTGTGTGTGTGTGGTACTGGGGTTTGAACTCAGGGCCTACACTGTGAATCACTCCATCAGTCATTTTTTTTATGGGTTTTTTCAAGATAGGGTCTCTTGATCTATTTCCCTAGGCTGGCTTTGAATCACAAACCTCCTGATCTCCATCTCCTGAGTAGCTAGGATTATGGGTGTGAGCAACTGGCACCCAGCAATGAAAGAAGCTCTGAACTAGAGGTGAGCTTAATATTTTGCTGAGGATAGAATGGACTTTTAAATACCTGATCATGAATCTTAATTACCAAAGTGAGACTCATAACTAAAAATAATTTGAAAGTTATAAGATGTTCCTGAAAGGTATTCAAGAGTTGAGAAAAGGAGAGTCAAAGGAGTGTAAGTAGTAGATGAAAAGTGAAGATTTTCCTCTTTGAATTAAGGTAGCTCCCAAGCTGGTTATATAAGCTTAAATGATGAAAGCATGAACCATGGTGATGGTGCTGGAAATGAAGAACACATATGAGAAGATGTTTGAGAAGAAGATAAACTGGGATTGGTGTTTAATGAATAGGAATTAGGAATAGTCAAAGACGTATGTCTTTCATAATAGGCAGGATGACAGTACACTTCTCGAAATGGACACTGGAAAAGATGGTAAGTTTGTTCTGACTCAAGGTTATGGAAGGAATGGGTGGATATCACAAAAGAAGATCAATAGAAACTGGAGACAGGGCACAGAACTGAGGGAGATATCAAAGTCACATCTCAAAAGATGTCTATGTAACTACAACTATAAGAATGTTCAAACCATCTGAGTAGGAAGGTGAATTTTTTTGTGGAGAACATCCAGAATTAATGAATGGGTTTGTAATGTAACCAATGAAAGTAATCAATGAGTGTTCAGAGAACCAGGCTGAAATGAATTAGGAGGAAGAACTGGATTTTGCTGAGAAGCATAAAGGCACCCCAGTGACTGAGCTGCTTCTGTGGGAGCTACAGGGGGTAGAGAAGTTAGGATGAGTTTGGGAAGAAGAAGGCAGAGAGGGAATGGGAGTAGGGATGGCAGAGCTTCAAGAATAATTTCCATATTATTGAAGACTTCGTCAAACTAACAATGAGTTGGAAAACCAGAACTCATTGGCCATCAAAAAAATATTTCCTGAAAGTCACTGTGATCATGGGTACTGATGAGATTGGCATTACAGTCCTGAATGTACTCCAAATTCTCTTTTGAGAGTACTTTCAAATGGGCATGGTGGCTCCATGCCTGCAATCCCAGCTATATGAGAGGCACAGGTAGGAGAATCATGGTTCAAGACCAGCTTGAGGCAGACCCTATCTAAAAAATAACTGGAAGCAAAAAGGGATGGAGTCATGACTCATGTGGTAGAGCACTTGCCTAACAAGTACAAGGCTCTGAGTTCAAACTCTAGTGCTGTCA